AGGGACACGTGAGAGAAGAGGGAGATAAAAACTAGCGGGAGAGACAGAGACATCAAGAAAACGAGAGGGAGGGAGAGAGAAAATCGCGATCACGCGGAGCGACCTAGAAGAACAAATCCCAGCTGTATCACCACCACCCCCTCGCGCGCGCACACGCACACAAGGGGATAAACTCATTGCATGCTCTGCAGCCAATGGCGCGGCGCGCGGCAGCAGCCCCTCTCCCTCTCCGCGGAGAATAGAGCCGCAATGTACACGCCACACCGCGCCGCGCCACGCCACGCCCCCACCGCTCCCGGAGTTACGCGGAGGGAGGGGCGTTCTGATTGAAAGGGCGGAGTGGGGCGGGGCGGGGCGACGTGGCAATAGGCAACTGAGCCGTCAGTAATTACGACTCATCGGCCGTTTTACTCGATAGTTTTATTTAATTTGTTTGATTCCTCTGACCGGTTGTTCAGGCTGGTGTAAATGATCATTGGTTCATCGATAGTATTTTATGAGTTCGATTTGAGTTGGCTAGGCCGCGAAGTGTATTGAAGTAAAAATGCATATAGTCATCCTCGTAGTCATCTTTGTTTAAATGCGGTCGGCGTTTAGAAAGGCGTATCGGGGTCAAATAATAGATTAAGGAACGTAAAAGCCAGTAAAATTTTAGGATTCAATTTTTGTAATTCACCTCTTCCTCATTCGTTTTCCATCACATAAACTATATAATATAATCATATGCGTAAAGACAATAATACAATACTCTATAAATATAATACAGGAGCTATCGAGATTTGTTAAGGCAGTCTTTTCAAAAACAAAATAAAAATAAAACGATAAATACACAATAGCAACACGATGCACCGCATGCCTCAATCAGCTAATTTACCTTGACCTGTCACGCGTTTAGCCTCCATGCCCGAGACACGCCATAAACGTCGAAGCGAACTGCACTCGTGACGAAAGCTTTGTCTACGCCGCTACCCCGCGCATTGTGGGCGCACTGCCTCGGCTCGACCATAACATGTCAAAACGGCCATAAATCTCGACAAAATCGGTGACTAACAGATAGAAAATCATAAACAACAACAAATGGCAAGAGGCAAGGGGCAAGGAGATGGTTGAGATGCAAAACCCATTTTTGAAAAACAGTAGCATTTGCAGAACTGGACAGGACAAATGCCCAGACGATTAGCGGTATCCACAGCGCATCTCCTTCCGTCGGCTTACAATAATACTGATATTGCAAGTGGTGGCAGGGCAAGCCCTAAGTCGCACCACGAGGTAACTTGGCATTTTAGCTAAGGAATCTTAAAACTTAAAACTTAATGATCACAATGTAACACGAAATAAGATAGGGCATCATCATACAGGAAAAATTGCTCTATTTATAAAATAATTTGTACATTAAACAACCTCATTCTTTCCCGGCGACAAAGAAGTAGGACGTTCGTTCCACGCGGAAACAAATAATTCTTTCTGCACGCGCATACACACACACACACATACTCGCACACTCACACACGGATCACAAAAGAGCACATTTCGTATCGATCATCCAGACGACACAGACACACATTACACATGACCATTGTCAGGACTAGTGGGGACAGGTGGGATTGGTACGTATCAATCTACTTCACCAAGGAGCAACGATACATTGCTAATAAATTATTGTAAAGAGGAACTGGTTAGCATCTGGACTCTGCTTTACCGCTTCATGATCTCGGCGATGGTGAAGCCTGACTTCTTTTTGCTGGGTGGCGGTGAGGGCGTGGTGGGTACAACGGTGGTGCTCGCCGACCCCACGGACAGGTCCAGGAGATGGGGGGTGAGGTGGTGCGGGTGCTGGCCGAGGTGCGCGCCAGCCTCCTGGGGGTACCCGATGGGCGACGGGGAAAGCTCCGCACCGGCCATGGGGACGCCGCCGTGTCCCTCGGTGTGGGTGAGCAGGTGGGTCTTGAGGTTGGAGCGCTGGTTGAAGGACCGGCTGCAGATGGGGCACTTATGGGGAGACTCTTCCAGGTGGAGGACCTTGTGCACGGCCAAGGTGCGCGACTGGCAGAAGCCCTTCCCGCAGGAGCCGCACTTGAAAGGCTTTTCCTTTGAATGAATGTACCTGGAGAAGCAAAAGACAAGTTCTGTTAGAAACTTTACCCCATAAATGAAAAATGTACGAGCAGTTCGTATTAAGTGTACAGCAAACAGGCAAATTTTGTTTAAGATATTTACCTATGGTCTCTGAGATGGTCCTGACGCCTGAAGGCCTTGCCGCAGATGTCGCATGAGTACGGCCGCTCGTCAGTGTGGGTGCGCTCATGGATCAGCAGGTTGTACGACTTGGTGAACTGGCGGTTGCAGAACTTGCAGATGAACTGCTTCTTGGGGCGTGAGCCAGCGCGGGGTCCGCTGGTGCCAGCGCCGCCGGGGCGCGCGGGGGCAGGGCCAGCGCGCACGGGGGCGGCCGGCCTCTGGGGTGGGCCCACCACGGACGGGAAGGGGCGGCTGGCGGCCGCGGTGGCCTGGGCGATCAAGGCGTTGTGGATCCACTGCTTGATGAGGAAGCCCTGCAGGGGCGGAGGGTAGGTTGCGGCCGCGGCGTGCAGGCTCTGCAGGAAGGCAGCGGGGAGGCCGGCGGGGAGGCCCGCGGGCAGGGCGGGCATGCCGCCAGGCACCGGGAGGCCAGCGGGCATGGGCGCCTGCTGCATCACGGGCGGCAGGCCGTAGGGCGCAAGGCGGGCGCGCTCGTCCATGCGGCGGGAGAGCTCGGTGACGGGCCTGAAGGCCGAGACCATGGAGGCCGACGGCATCGGCGGCACGGCGCGGGGCAGCTCGCCGTCGCTGTCAGAGTCCCTCTCGTCCGTGTCGAACTTGAAGGGCGCGGGCGAGTAGTGGTGGCGGGGGCTGGTCGCCATGTCCTCGGAGGCCTCGGAGGGCGCGCTGCTGGAGGACGAGGTAGGGGTGTGCGGCGGCGTGAGCAGCACGGCGTCCTCGGCCCTCATCGCAGGGCTGCCTGGAAAAGCAAAGGCATCCTTAGCAAGGCGCGTCGCAAGACACAGTGGGGTTGGGGTCGGCGAGAGCCAAATAATAAACCGATTAAGAGTACTCGGCATTTTTTAGGGCAAAGAATTTGAGTAACGACCCTTCACACGGGCTTAACGCGCGAGGATCTTGATCCGGACGGGTGTTGAGTCCAAACAGAAAAGTAAAACGCGTCGTAAATCACTCAGTGCGCGACACGGCACATCACTCGAAAGCCGTGAACTGTCACTCACTCGGCCGCCCGCGACGCGGAAACGAAAAATAGAGGGAGGGGGGAAAAGGTGAACACTGAACACTGAAAATACTCACCATTAAGAGACGTTCTATGAAGCACAATATCCTCGGATGATGTCAGGCCAGCTGCCATTTCTGCATGTAGCACGTAGCACGGCGAGTAGAATAATAACCAAGTTGAAGAAAAACTGAAGCAAAGTCCTTTGCAGGCGCACGAGTATCACACATACACACACACACACACACACACACAGTCACAGGGCACTACGGCGCGATCAGGTTGCGGTGGCAGATGCACTAAGGAAGGTCGGCAGTCACTGCACACCTGACTGGATTGAGCTCTGGTGAGCGACTGACGAAGAAGGAGACGGCGAGATGTGAGCCGGCTGGTCGGGCCGGGTCCTGCCGCGGGTCGGGTGCCGTCTGGCTGCCTGAGTAGCCGGGCCCCAGCGCGCATGCGCCGCGCACCAGCGCGCCTAGCTCGCCTCCCATTGGCTGGCGGCCGCCAGGCGGTGCCCGGGCTCGCTGCCTCCGCTGCTTGTCGGTGGCTCTTGCTCCTCCCGCCGGGCCGCTGCTGCAGCCGCTGCCGTGGGGCCTCGCGGCGATCCCCCGCACCGCGACCGCCGCCGCCACCGCCGCCGCAGCAGCAGCAGCAGCGGAGCGGCGGCGAGCTTGGCTATCCACCCCCGCACGGGCCACCGTCAAGCGTTCTCACGGCCAACGGGGAGGGTTCATCTCTTCAGGATAATCATACGACTCGGAGAAAATTAGAGTACATACAGCCAGCTAGAAAACCTCCTACTCGTTTTCCACCCCTTTCAACTTCTGGTCTGAAATGACATCTGCAGGGGGTGAGAGGGTGTGGAGCCGAGACGAAACAACGAGCCGACAAACCGTTCAAGGGGCTGCGTCTTATTCGTTTTCGTTCTTGTAGTAGAATTCAGGAGTTTGAGCTTCGATAGCCATATGTCGAGAAGACGACGAAAACCACCCCTCCCCTCAAGATAGTTTATCGGTCAGGGGAGGAGTTGTTAGGGTGGGGGCACGATGTAGTGCTCTTCGCTAAATTGTGGATTGTGGAGGGGGGGGGGGTAGATTTCCGGCTCCGAGAGGAGCGAAGCGCGATTCGTGAGTTTGGAGTGACCCAGGCTCGTGCGGGTCAATCCGACATGGGAGAGCGCGGTGGAGCCCCGAGGCGGAACACGGGGCGGGCCGGCCTATGGGGCCGTGGGGCCGGGCTGTAGCCATGGCTGTAGCGCGGGCTAATCAAGACGGTACCCCCTCGACACGCACCCATGAAGTGCCCTGCAGAAGTAGTACCCGGGCCTCACAGAGCGAGCCAAAGGGTGCGCGGTTCCTCTGCAGAGGGCCCAAACCAACTTTCACAGCAGGGCGGACGCAGAGAGCCGCGCGGCACACCAAAAGTAGCCACAACGACGGCACGCCCACGACAAGGCTCATATTAAAGGACGCCAAGATTTATTTGGAATGGAAAATTATGGAAATGTGACGGCACACGCAGTGCCAGAGTGGGCCGGTGCCGGGCCGGTGCAGGCGGGCGGTGCGCTAATTGCATTCTAAACGCAGCAACACAATGTGTTTCAAAACGTTTGGCCACCCCCGTTGGGTTGACAGGATTCAGCGCTTTCCACCGCCGCCACCCACGCCGTGCCCCCACCCCCGCCCCGCGCCGCCGCGCCGCAAGGCGTGAGCGCCCCGGGCGTCGTCGCTTCAAAGCGGCAAGATATGACGTTTCTGATCCACTTTCCGCTCTCCTCTTCATTTTCAGATTGACTCCTTGACGCTAATTTACCGTTTAAAACTGCTTCAAAGACCAAGGGACAAGAGCAGAAATCGTACAGATGGGGTCATAGCGGGTCATAGAACGGAGCAGGGGGTGGCATACAGGGAAAGAAGGGAGACTTTGGTTAGTGGCACCAGCAACAAGCGAGGTACGCTTGAACGCGCATGAAAACTTGCACCACACATCGCTGCATGTTCACGAAGTCGAGCAAGCTTCAATTTTCCCCCTTTATCGCCCGCCCTATGACGCATCGCGCCATCGTCGGCCATCTGCAGCAGAGAAACAAAGTATCACGAGCATCATGCAAATGGGCCGCCTCCTAGAAAGGTGAAATGACACAGTGATTGCTTTTCAATTAACCCCGCGAGCGGGCGCGCGCGGCAGACAGAACTAATCACAAGACAAGTGTGTGCGGTTGTGCATTGGAGCGAGCGAGACAGACGACGACCCCGCCACCACGCCAACGCCGCCGCGAGCCGCTCCTCTCCTCTCCAGGATTAATTACTATTCCACTCTTTTCCCACGGGATGAGCGCAGCGCTGAGCTTTTGCGCTCGTCTAGCCGCGCGCTTTTGCCCCGCGGCAACGCGCGAGGCTTTCAAAATTCAACGGAAAAAACATGAATTGCAGACTGCTCCTTGGAACAGATATTGAACCGGTTTTATCAGGGTGCGGCGGAGGAAATGGAACAGAAGAAAAGATTAGATACGCCAGAGTACTGAGACACACAGCAAAACGGAAACGCGTCCAATATTCAGTCTCTTCCGGCCGTGGCGCGCAGATCCTTTGCAGCCGCCGCCGCCGCCGCCGCCGCCGCTACTCTCTCGCGGCGTCGCGGGGTGGCGGGGCGTAGCGGAGCGCGACGCCGCCATAGCGACGCCATGCCAGTGGGCGTGGTTCGAGAATCGACCGCACTCAGGCCCTAGGCTCGGCGACGGGGGGGGGGGCGTGTGCGTCAAACCGTCACCAGGGCAGCTTTTTCAGAGACATAACGGGGACAGGGGCACGGCGGCACGGCAGCCGCACGCAGGTGATTGCCGTCATCATTGCGGATCTGCGGATATGTGGCACGGGGATCTGCACTTCACGGGAAGGTGATAAGCGTGACCCTCCCCCCGAACCTGCCAGGTACCTGTGCGGTACGCGGTACATACCTTCTGAGAAGCCTCGTTGTCGACCTCTTTCTGCTACATACCCCAGCAGATGGTGAACTTCCCGATCAGCCTACATTCCCAACCACACCCTTAAAAAAAAATGTGTGCATTTCATTTGAAAATACGAGTGCCTTGCGCTTGTGTTCAGAGCATTATATTTCCCCTCCAAAAAATCAAATTTGCGAAGAAAATGTTTTTTAATATCAAGGACACATTTTTAGGATGCTTCGCTATGAGCACAGCTATGGAGCAGCGGCCAAAAGGGCATGCCGAGCGCGACTCTGCTTGGAACCGTTGTGGAAAGTTTGTCCGCCAGGTGGACTGAGAGGCAGGTGCCACTTCCTGTATCCGTACAAACAAGGGCAGTACCCATCCCATCCTTAAGCCCCATTCATTTGGACGCGTCAGCAGCACGAGCGCGTACAGCGGGCCATTCACGACGGGCTGTCCCTGTCCCGTCGCGAGAGTCACTGCCTCGCCCTATTCCGGTGCAATGCGGGGCTGACAAAGCTCATGCATGCACTGGAAAAAAAATTAAGATCCGTCTCAAAATGTCAATGAGTGACGCAATTTTATTCGGTAATTCATGTCTTGAAAATTGGAGAGTTGGTGACACACAGTCCCAGATCGATGAAGTAGATTGTAAGAACAAAGTTCAAGTTTGCAATAACACCATATTCCGCTCGTCGCTATCTCAAACTTCAAAAGCAAAGCACCGGACGTCGCCGTTCAGGAGCAGTGTATAAGAAATCGATCTTGCGCACGAACCGCTCTGAGATATTGCTGGAAATAAAGTATAGTAGTTCTGGTTGCACTCGGAAAAAAATATTTTTGCGATATTTAAACACGAGCTGTTCATGCGGTAAATGAGTGTGGATGGTGCGCGATGAGCAAAGGATCAATTTCTCACACTCCCGAGGGGCGACTTCCGGTGCGTTTGGTTTTTCGAGTTCGAGATAGCGACTATGGTCTCTAATGGACTGCGGCCTTGTCTTTTTTCCAGTGTGCCCGGCTAGTGATTAGGAGGGTGGTGTGTGTGTGTGTGTGTGTGTGTGTGTGTGTGTAATCCCGGTGGAGACATGCCGTCTGGGACGGCCGGCCCGGGACTGTGACGGGGCGGCCCGTAGGGCAGCAGCCCTTGGGGCTTGGGGCGGCCGGAATGCAGCGTGGCCCGTCACTAAGCCCCGCAGAGGAACACTCCGATGTACGACAACGGCACGCGTGGTCACGCGTGGTCACACGCGACTACCGCCAGGGCATACAAATTGCACGTGCCACAGTCTGCCACAGCCGCGCCCGGGCCCGCTCCGCGAGGTGCCCGAGGTGTACGCGCTGCGCAGGTGGATAGCGCGGTGCCGTTACGGCGGGGGAGGCAGAGCAGCCGCCGGGCCCAGCCGGGCCGCCCTCTCACTGAGGTCGCTGTCCTCGTCGGTCCATTGTGGTGAATGGGGCCGTGGCTACCGCTGCCATGTGGCCACTAAGCCCGCGAGGGGGCTGCTGCCCGCCGCTGCCCGCCGCTGCCAGGCTGCTGCTGCTGCTGCTGGACCCGGGCCTTGTTATTGTGCCTAATCCTGCAGCACAGGTGCGGGGGCGGCGGGGGCTGCGGAGGCAGTAGCACGCCCTGCTGGCCAGGGTAGCTGCTGCAGTTCTGGGAACACCCCCGACCCTCTTTCCGGGCTCTCCGGATGAGGAGAAAAAAAAATTGAAGGAATAGACAAACATTTTACACGAGCAGGAAAAAGTTCAAATCTGTTTCACGATTCATGACCGGGCAATGGACATTAGCGAACACGATTTTTCTCTGTCATGCTCTGCTGAATAGTTTCTCCTTTCCCGCTCCGTATGCGAGAAGCTAAGTTGAACATATGAACTATTAATTTGTCGAACAAATTTGTTCTCAGAAATGCCCACATATTACTCAAAGCCCTCTACTACTTATTTTCAACATTTCCAGAATATATCAAATTTGTCATCAGAACCACACTACAAATATGCATATTTTAAATTCTCGCAGCTGTGCTTTTTTCTTTTTTTTTATGCCGTTGCCTATTCTTGGAAACTTTCTATGCACGCCTGCATGCGGCCATAATTACTTTTAGCACTGCAGAAAATCAAGCACCCTCTGCAAACGTGGAAGAGAATGATTGCTATGTTCAGGATATATTTTTCTCCGTGTATGTCTCTGCTTGCTGCTGATCTGTCCAGAAGCAGGGCAGTGTCGCCCGAGGCATGCACGGCAGGCGGAGGCCGCAATACCGAGAACCACGGGTATCCCCGGGTCACTTCCCTCCTCCCGGGCCTCGCTGGCCTCCCGGAGCCGCCGTGAGCCAAAGTCAGTCATTCATTGGCTTCTCATTAACGAGTGACATTGTTAGCGCTGTAGCGCGGCTCGTGGGACCGGCCGACCGGCCGGCCGGTAATCCCCAACGACGACGTCTCCATTTGCCTCGCGCA